TCATCAACAGTTTCACATTAATTTACCTGAATAGTCCAAGCAAGGCTCTGTCTATGAACTGAGCAACAAAGACACAATTACTGCTGGAGAACAGAAACAGAGAGTTACAGTATACACACAAAGAAATCAACAGGCTAACAGGTTTGCTGTTCCTTGCTGATCCTGAGATCTCTATGTGTTAACTGTTGTGACAGATCATATAAATAGTAAGCAGTGATGAACCTGTTGCTAATACTGCCTTTGGTTACTCAGGCAATATGTTAAATTTGCAGAGGAAACACTGCTCTATACATCTTAAAGAAATAATTACAATAAAGACTGCTTACCATCTATCATTTCTCTGAAAGCCATGTTCAAAGTTCCAATGTGGGGAAAAAAAGAGCATCACTCTTAATCTCAGCTTGTAACTGTAGCACTTCCTTGTTTACTGCATTTGGCATATGTTGTCATTATTTTCAAGATTTCTCACCTTGACATACTGAAGAATTTTGCAGCTTTTAGTCCAATGCGCCTACAATTTGGGCACAGATGGTTTGAAAACTCTAATATTAAAGAGCTGATTGCCAAGACCTCTTTTAAGTCTGTAACAGTGTTTGTAATGAAGTTACTTCAGTGTTTAAGTCATTTCCATTAAAAGAATACTCTAGAGATTTTGCCACTTCAGTAAGGTTGGCAACAAGTTTGTTACACAGACTTTTCATTTAAAAATTTGTTGGATCGAGGCCAAGGTAGCCCTGATGACATCACTACGACATCATGAGGTTTATTTTCTCAGACCTGGCAAAGCCCTTCCACAGCCACAGAAGACATTATAACACTGTTTTCATAGGCTAAAGAGTACACAGGTGTGTAAAATAGTGGATTTCTCCTTGGGGTGGGCAATATAGATCTAATATACTTTTTGTATTGCTGCTTGTGGGTTGTATAAAATCACTATATCATGAACATCTAAAAGGTCACGTAATTTCTTTAAGGCACTAGCTCGAGACTCGTGTGGTGGCAAGACTACTATTTAATGAACAGTTTAAAGAAAAAGTCTTCACACGTCGGCTGTCTTTCTTGAGTTTTAATAAGCATTCATGAATGGAGACACTCACACATATACAACCACATGAACAGTCAGTCAGTGAATGAGTGCCTACCAAGTCCTCTCGCCCTGCTATCTTTATAGTTCCCATAACACATGCACATCAACAGTCAAAATATGTGGCGCCTTGACATTCCTAAAACACAACATCTCTTCAGACTAACAGGGACACTTGTTGTCCTCCCTGGCTCATAATCTTAGTGTCTGAGCCTCCCTGGCTCGTGACCTTGGTGTCTCTCACCGCTGTCACAGTAGGGGTTAAATGAGCAACAGATATCATTAGGTTAGAAGTTCAGTTTCATAAAAACAAGTAACCTTATACAACACATTATGGGTTAAATATGTTTAAATACCAGAATTTTCCATCACACTCGTTTCGGCGTCTCGGCTCTCTTGCTCTCTCCTGTGGCTACAAGGATCCTAAATGAAGACCCTGACTAAAGGCCCTGACACACGAAGTTGACGGTTGGCCGTTGGTCAATGTTGGGCTGTTGGTGAGCGTCTGTTGCTCTAGTCTTTGCAGTGTGTCCCCTACCGTTGGCCTTAGCTGGCGAAAAACAGTGGAGCCTGCTTATGAATTAAATTCTTCTGATTGGCAGTTGAGTTCAGCGCACAAGAAAAGAAATGGAAGTGAGGAAAGTAAACAAAAGGCTTAAGTCAAGAGGGAGTGAGACCCAAACAAATTTGTTACATTAGGTAGGATTATTTTTCTTTAGCCATTGAGCTCTTTAGCAGAGACGTTTCAGATTGGTTTGTGTTATCGTTCACTGGCGCACAGTCAATACGCTCTGTTATTTTAACATTGGATTGTGTTGTTAATGCACTAACTGGCTAACTAGCGTCAGGAAGGTCTTCTGGTTTCCCTTTTTGTATGACTAATACAGGCGACGACCATCTACTGGTATGGAGGGGTATTTCCTGCAGGCTCAGAATGTACATGCTGGCTGGCTGTCAGCTGCAGTCTTCATGGTGTGTTAATGTGCAACTTTTTGGCTGAGACACAGGTGGCACAGCAATTTTCATTGCTGCTAGTTCTCTATAGTTCAGTGTGTCTGGACCCCCAACCCCCAACCCCCCCCAGACATGGATTATTATTTCCATGCTTTGTATGCACAAATTGATGAAACGGATGGATTGCATTTTACTGAAATCATATTCTTATAATTACATGTGACAAATAAATAGACTGATCAATAAATGTTACCTCTTATTGTCCACATCCTGATGTAAAGCTCATCTGCACCCTCCTCCACCCTAATAAATATTATTCCAGTGGAACTAGATGCATGTAAAACTGTGAAGATTTTGTATTTCAGACTCTCCATTCTGCATTGCTCACTTATTTTTCTCTTTCCAGACCCTTGACTTTCCTTTTTAATATGCTCCATCCTCACTCTTCAATAAATCTCCCTCTTTCTGCATTTACCTTTCTCCTTTAAGTCATTCTTTTTTTTCCCCTCTGCACATCCCTCTCCTCTCTCTTCCTGGTCTCCATTTCTCCTCTGCTCACTCAAATAAATCTCTCCATCCCCTTTTTTCTACCAACCCCCTCCCCAAATCTATGAAACACACACAAACATACATGTGCGCGGACTCGCACTCACTCACTTACGCGCACAAACACACAGCCCTTCAGGCAGCAGCCACAAAGGCCCCATATTAATAAATCTGCTCCTTTATTGGTGCTGAGTGTCTCTGGCAGGGAGAGAAAGAGAGGGAGAAGAGGGGGAGGGAGGAGGAGGAGCAGGACAGGAGACGCAGAGATCACCAGAAGGGAGGAGGAGGTGGCTGACTGTAACCATATCATGAACACAAGGGAGGTAGAGTGAGAGAGACAGAGAGATAAAGGGAGAAGGAGACAACATTGACAAGTGAATCATCAACAAGCACGCACACACACCAGCACACACACTTTCTATCAGCAATAACACAATGGCCCTGGGATAATGAGAAGAACAATACAAGTGTGATGTGTCACTTGTGTAGGTGCTCATTTGTTAAGGTATAGTCCACCCACACTTCCTTATAGACCTCCGTACTGCGATTATTAAGGACACCTGCCATGTGGCTGAACCACTGGAGCGTTCACAGTGGGCTGTGCTGGTCACTGGACTCGGGAAACAAACTGCCCGAGGTGGGCTTTCGGTAATGACAGCAGCTAGCTTGGCTTAGTGGTCCAATCTCAGCCATCAGTCAGCTGTGACAGATTGGGGATATGAGCTAAGGAGCCGTTTAGCTTTGGTGTTTGGCGTGGTGTGTGAGTGCATGCGCTTGTGTGTCTGGGGGAGGAGGAGGAGTGTGGGGAGGCTATCAGTGCTGCTCGTGTTGCAGAGGCATCAATACACTGTCGACAGGCCATTTTCCTATGCCTGTTCCCAGCCCTGGCTTGTTGCTGGGGAAACTACCGCCATTTTACCTTCTCTGGCTGCACCACTGGGAGGTTTTGTAACACAGAAATACATTTTCCATAATCTGTCCCGGTCAGCTGTTAAAATAAGTTTGCATTAGCTTGTATTTTTATTTCCTTGCTATCGGGCATTCAGAGTGTAAAAATGGAGTCAAACTTATCAGTAGTGGTGTAAATAACTAATTTTATCACAAGATGATATTGTATCAATTCTTTGGACGATGATACAATATTTTCCAATATTACAAAGTCTGTCACGATACGATTTTGATTCAATGCAATTCAGGGGCCTGCAATCAATATGAGATGATATTATCTGCCGATTTCACACAATCTGTTACAGAAGGCGCTGCCAACCTTTTCTTTTTTTCCTTTGGGCCATAAAATAGAAAAACACATGAATAATGGAAATAATTGTAACCACTTAATTGCAGTACTTTAAACTGACTCATGGATAAGTTAACCCTCAGAGCTTTCTTTCAGAAAGACCTTTCTGGAAGAAATGTTTTCATTTTAACCCAATCCATGATCTTTTTCCTAAAAATTGAAGGCAAGCTTCTCCCAACAGCTATAACACACGGATTAACAGCAACATTATTTAACAGAAGTATAAAATTTGGCTCAACACTAACTGTTGAGGCTCACTGACAATACAACTGTTTTTTGCTGGTGACCCATTATTAGCTTTAGCACGTTTACATTGCGTCAATTAGCCTTACCCCACTTTATTTTACTAACCATTGGTATAAGTCACTTCATGCCCCAACAGAACAGCACATTTTTTCAGCCCATTATTGAAACAGAGCAGCTAATGTTACTGTAGCGAAAAGTTAGCAGAGTGAAATGCCCATCCAGGCAGGTACGTCCTTTTTTATCTCCATACGGCATGTGCTTTGTCTGTTGACCCATACTTTATCCGAAATCAAAAATATTTCCACACTGTTGATTTATACAAAGAAAAAACCTTAATGTCATTGACTTTGTCTCGGCTGTTTGCCATCATCTGCCTGGCGCTGTTTGATTGTGACAGAGAATTTTGAAATAAAGGCGCAACGCAAAGATGATGATGTCGTTCAGTGTTTTCACTTTGCATCAATGATATTGGATCTTTGATCAGTGAATCAATTTATCGATCCAGATCGATGGATGTCAGTGTATTTTATAGAAAAACTCCAGTGGACAGCCAGCATTACATATGGTGCCTCAAGGATTGACAGGCAAAAACTGTTGGGTGTTTCGTGCTCCTCCCAAGGTCACAGGTTGAGTGTTCTGTAACACCACCACCCTGGCACTCATCTCCACAATAACAGCTTTCTGTTTCCATCTGAAAAATGACTCTGAAATCAGAGCCAAAGCTACAGACAAACAACTGTTGAAGGAAATTGTCCTGCTGAACCAACATAGACGCAACAATGTTGACTTCACTTAAACTGCACCAATGCAGTGCAAACAAATTTGAATAGCTGCATTGATTAAAACTGTAACAGGGAGCAACAGGTCCCTTACCTGTCCATGAGGCTGCATGGTGCTGTAGGGCATGTTCTGGTTCAACACTTTCTGCTTCATCAGCAACATCCTCTTCTGCTCCTCACTAAGGTGGGCTGTCTGGCCTGGGATTGGCCCCTGGGTCTGCCCTGGCCCTGCGCCCTGGCCACCGCCTCCCCCACCACCCATGTAGGGGGGCATCATGGGGTTCTTCACCTGATTGTTCCCTCCCATGGGAGGAGTCATCCTCTGACCTATGTGATCAACCCCACTGCCACTGAAGTGACTCAGTGGTTTGGTGTTGTTATAGGACAATATGGCTGCTGTTTGCTGCTGTTGTTGCTGCTGTTGTTTGGACAGGGTGTTCTGGTTGATGCTGTTTGGCTGTTGCTGGCCCATCATGCCCATGTGGTTGTGAGGGAGGTAGTTGTTCATGGGGGCTTTGGGCCCACTGTTGGGGGCCATCCCAGCCACTAGAGGGCCCTGTGGCGTGTTAAAGGCTTGTGGTGGGTACATCATAGGGCTGTTGGGTTTGTCTTGGTTAAAGGGACCAGAGTTATAGGGACTGGTTGGAGCGCCTGCAGGGGACCAGTTAGCTGCTTGTTGCTGCTGCTGCTGCTGCTTCTGCTGCAGCAGTTTAGCACGTTGCTGAGCCATTGCTTTTAGCTGCTCTGCTGGAGAAAGTTCTGGCGTCACTGGTCCTACAGGCTGACCTCCAGGGGCAACTCCAGCTGCTCCAGGTCCTGTGCCTGCCTGACTGACCCCTGGGCCAGGGTTCATAATGTATCCATTCCCAGGCCTAGAGACTGCTTGTGTCTGAGCCTGGGTGGGAGTCTGAGGGGACCGAGCTACGCAGTTGTGCAATGGGGAACCTGATGCCATGGCAACGGCTGGAGACTGCTGCAAAGGTTGCTGAGGAGGCGTTCCATTGGCAGTGGTGGCAAACTGAGGGCCTGACGAAGATGGTCGGACCTGCGGAGCCCAAACACAAAAAAAATCCCATGAGACTTATTTACTATTAACTCTTACAAGAATTGTTCAACATAACAACAGGAGGCAATTAGCTTAAATAAAGACAGGAAACAGCTCGCCTGGCTCTCTCTGAAGTTCAAAAATATGCCCATCAACACCTCTTAAGCTTTCTAATTAACACATCTTCCCTTGTTTGTTTAATCTGAACATAAACAGTACAGTAAATTTAACAAATTGTGGTTTAAGTGGGAGTTACCTTTCAGAGTCTTGTTGTTTGAAGGTTTGATACCATCTAACCTGTGCAGATATATTAAAGCTTGTGCTCACCAGCCATATATAGCAACCAGTGACACAGCCGCAAACACTGCACGAAAGCACTTGATGGATGTTGAACTCTTGCTTGTCACAGCAGGCAGCTCTCCCATAACTCACAACTTGTTATTTCTACATTTCAACAAATGAGATACAACTTGCTAATTAGACAACTTAACACATGTTTTGAACTTTGGAGAGAGCCAGGCTAACTGTCTGCCCATCGTTTCAGTCGTAATGCTAAGGTGAGCTTATCCCCTCCTGGCTTTAGCTCCATACCTACAATGCAGACATGAAAATCAATCATCTAATCTAACTTTCAGAAAGAGAGTTATATGAGTCATAGCAGTGGCATATTCATTTATTAAATGAAACAATTAACAATTAAACAATATTAATTAAATGCAGGGGGAAAAAGAGGTTGCCTTGTTTATTGTGGTAATTTACAAGTAACGTGAAATATCTGTTTTAAGAAAAACAAAGCCAAAGTGAAGAAGCAGACAACGGCAGACGGTCAGAGGACACAGACCTTCAGCTGCTCAAATAGCAAGTCGAATTTAGCCAGCGCAAAGTCCCTGCTGGATTAGGAGACTTTCTGCTGCTGCCTGTATAAAGATTAGACCAAGCCCACTGTGAACCTCTGTGCTGGGGTTTGCGGAGGCTGAATCTGAGTTGCTACAGCCACTAATGAGTCTGTCTCCTGAGCTTCCACCCTCTGTCCTCTAGCTCAATAGTCTTCCAGCAGCAGGTAGAGAGGGATAGACTGCAGGAGTCCTAGCTAGCTAATTCTTGTCTCATTTGTGGTCTGATAAACAGAGGTGCAGGGCGAGGCGCTGAGCACAGCTCTACAAAGGAATAAGATTTTACTCGTTTAAAAAAAAAAAAAAAATCAATAGTGGCGGTCAATATTGATATTACAAATGAATCAATGTATGGGAAACACTGCAAGCATGATGAGCAGGGACAGCTGAATATAGCAGTTTAAATTTACTTCAAAAAGTATATTCATAAAATTAATTTCATTGCACGTGTAATGCACGTTTTAGGAAGTAAAATAAGTGAGTAAAATTCATTCTGTAGTCACAGAGTCACAGAGTGCTTAAATGGAATAAAATAGTTAAAATTAAGACCATAAAAGCACTTTATTTACTACTTTTCTATGGAGTATACAATGCTGCTGAAATAAAATAAATGTGACATGCATTTCCCATTGCCAATGTTAAAAAAGTAAACAAAAATTGCAATTAATCAGAATATCAAATTACACTACTTGTGGAATTTTCTAAATATATTTAAAGCCCTCGCAATATCCACATAAATCTGTTCATAATTTACGAGACTATTTTTTGTCTTGCTGGAAGCTATCTGTCTCAGACCAAGATATTGTACAGCTAGCTTAAAACTTTATTAGGCTATATTATATTCCCATCACACTGTGTAAGCATTTCATGTTTGTTTGTTTCTCATTTTGCAAATCTCATTGTTTTGTCCATGTATTAATAATTTAGAAATGGTACACCGAAAGACTCAACCGTGTGAATATAACTATGAACTGAAATCAAAAATCAATTCTTATTTAAAACCAGTTCAAATTACCTGATTCCTGAAGACAGGATGAAGGAGTGACTGGGCATGTCTTACGCCCCTCCCAGTCCCAGCCCTGCCAACATTGGTACTTTTTCGTATTCTAGAAGTATTTTTTGAATTTCCAGGGTAGAGGCACTTTAGACAAAATTCTGTAGTTTAGTTACTCTACAGCAATTATTATTCATTACCTTGAATCCTTGCATCAGCAATGGACCGTAAACTGCAATTTATGCATTGCATGTAGATTATACATGCATGTTGCTGTTATGAGATGTCAATCTATTTTGTCTGTTACAATTAAAAGCAATCAGCATTTAAATTGGTAAGTTAGTTACATGCTAACAATGTACGATAATTCTACCTTTAGAGAAAACATCAATTTGTGACTGAATCACCTAAACTGGTAACAAGTTGGGGCAGTGATAGGGGTTATAGGACATAATGTGACCTTCTTAGTACTGACCTGTGGTGAGCCCATGGGAACCTGCGGGCCTCCCTGTGGAGGCTGAGGAGGAGGAGGCAGGGCTGCTGCTGGTGCCGCCCCTCCTCCGGGTGCCGTTGTGTTCCCAGCTGCTTCTTGTGGGCCTGGTGTCTGATTGTTTGCCAGTCTGCCAAACTCTGCTTCTTTCTTGTCCTCAAAGTCCTCATTAAAGAGGTCGTGCATATCGTCCTCTGGCACAGTGTTGGCCAGCTCATCGATCAGCTCCTGCCACTCCTGGTCATTGAGGTTGATGTCAGAGAACAGTTTATTTTGATTGGACAGAGACTGGGGATCAGAGGACTCCATCCCACCTCCGTCATCCAGTGGCTCCTGTTTCAGGTCTTTGAGGAGGCCGAAGCTGTCCTCCAGGTCCAGCGAGCCATTCAGCTTCATGTCCGGGAGATGGCTGCCACCGTTCTTCCCTAGCTCATCTGATGCCTGGCCTACATGGTTGCCATTGCTGTTTGTAGTGTTGTTTCCGGTGGAAGTGTTGGGCCCCCCAAGTAAGGGTTTAATGTCCATTTGGTGATGTAGTGGAGAGATGGGTGGTACATTGTTGTTATTGTTGTTGTTAGGGAGACCTGTTAGTGAATCCAAACCACCAGAGCCCTCCTTCCGTACCCGTTTGGTAGTTGGTGAGTAGCTGCCTCCATCACAGATGCCATTCTGTTCTCCATTGAGAGGCGATCGTGCGCTGTCCAGTTTTCTCTTTACAGTCTCCTGGAGCTGTATCGAAGACAAAAAAAGAAAATGGATTAGGTCGGGACAAGCACCAGAGATGGGACGTGTAAGCAATATGAAAACTTTTCTGTGGTCCTCAGGCTCCTAACAATGGAAACAACATGAGATACCAAATCAATAAGACAACAAGCTGCTTCCTCTCTACACACATGGAGAACCAGCATGAGAATGCAAGAGGTGTGCTGGAAATCAAAACATCACCAAGCCAATTTTATTTTCTCTACAGCTTCAATCTGGCTGATCACACCAGTTCTTCCAGAGAGCACATCAATTTGTACAAAAAATGGAAATGGCAAAAAGTAAAACATGGGGCAAAGCAATGCAGGACAAGCAGCCCTCTTTGCAGGCTGGAGTCAAGGTTTTCTAAGGAGGGAAGGAAAGATTAAAGAACAGCTTGTTCAATCTGTAGTATTCTCTCTATCATTAGCATCAGCCAATGAGCAGATGAGCTGCCCAGTCAAAATCCACACCCCATACTCAGCCTTAGTGTAAGCAGCCAACACACAGTCCACCAAACTTAACTGCCTCTGTCATGACACAGATGAGTTAACAACAGGGTGCTAACAAATGCTGGCTGGTAGTTTAAGGTAATCACTATCATAGACCTAGGCTAAAGAGGAGAGGAGGTGTGGAGGGCCAGCAAACACAAGCTCAGACGTAGCAAGTAAAAAACTGAGACAAAGGGAAGAAAATAGGAAAAGGAGTAAGACAGGGATGATAAAACTTTTTGATTGCAGGCCATATACAGAAAAATAGAAGCAGTCACAAGCTGAACTAAGTGCATAAATTTTCAACCAGTTACACAGCAAGAAAACCAGTCAGTACTTTTACATGACATCAAAGAAAATGGGTTTATTGTGTTAGTCTGAACCAAAACCAGACTCTTAAAATACATGTAAACACAGGAGTCCGACTGAAATTGTACTAAACCAAATTTCTCAAAGCTGGACTAACACACCTAGATAAAGTGATTGGGAGTGACATTACTCCTGCATGATTACAGTCAGTTGGACCCAAACTGGCCTAGGTGCTCTGTGCATGCTCCAACGCTTCTGCCCTGGGTTCTTGACCCAGAGGTTAAACAGCATTAAATGTCTAACAGAAGAAGAAGCCAGTAACAACATAACACCATAACCACATGGGATAGCATGCATCTCATCTGTACAAGAAGTAAAGCGTACAGCATGTATGAAATGTGCAGAGCTGTAAAATTGTTAACCATAGTACCAGTTTGCTGCCAGCTAACTGTATCTAACTTGATTGGCAATTGTTTGGTCTGTGACATAACAGGTCAACCGGAAAAAGGTCCAGCACTAAGATGTTGAGGGTATATCTCCACCTATATCCAATAAATCGATTCCCCTCTTGTGCTTGTATACTGGGACAAGGACAGTAGTCCAATTAAATGCCTTTGTCGAGCTATAATTGTAGCTCCACTTAACTGTGCATGTAAACATACAGTGTTTCCGGAGCAGAAAATCCTATTTGCTGTAGAAAATTCATTTAATGTCAAAGTTACTAAGCAACACTACTAAACGTTTGACATTACAGTAGTATACAGTACTAATATAATATTAGTGGGTTAACATATTAAAAATAGTATTTCTCTATTTTCCATCTCTCAGGTCCAGCATCATGTTTACTGAGGTAAATATTTTTATTAACTGGAAATCAATCATTGTAGATGTAGCAGCAACATCTCATGTTCAAACAAAAAAGTGCAGTAGCAGGGCTTGGTAGTGGTAGTTGTGTTGTGATGAAACCAACATTGTGTTTAAACCATATTCTAGTTTATTTTGAAAAACTGTCCGTAGTTCATTTAAAAACAGGCAGTGGGCTGTAGTAGTTTGGCCCTGGAGTAAGACCATGCCAATACAAGTAATTACAAATTCTCTCCACTTTGGCCTTTTATCAATACAAAGGTGTTTTTATCACTGAAAAATGTGCATTTCAAAAAAGTTTGAACTAGGGCTGCACAATATTAGAAAAAACTGGCATTGCGATTTTTTTTTCTTATACTCATACCAAAAAGAGCAGTGTTTTCCCTATATGCAATTAGCAGCAGCGCACTGTCGTTTACAATTCTCCTCTGCTCTCTGTATCGCGCACGGCGGAGTTTCGCCCCGATGCGCATGCGTGTGTGCAGACAGAGACACACACACACACACACACACACACACACACACACACACACACACACTGGAGTGAGGCTCAGACCGCATTTTCCTGACTGAACCCGACCAGTCAGTTGAGAGAACGAGCAGCTATCTAGCTAGCTAGATACTTTATTAATGCAGAGGGAATTTAAGACACCCAGTATCTACAGTAGATATGCTTATGATGGTAGTGCAAATGTAGGTGGTTGACTGTGCAGGTAATCCAATGTAAGGAGATTAGATTAAAGTGTAAGAGCAGGCAGGAGTAATGAGTACTTTGCTATGGATAATATAAATGCACCTGAAGATAAATATATGTACAGATACCAATGCAAATGCAGACTGTCTTTTGTATACGGTGCTTAAAAGTAAAAACTCTGTTAAATAAAGAATAAGGAATGGGGAGAAGTCTGGAAGCTCCATACCCTCTGAGCAGAGGACAAAAATCAGCTGCCAATGGGAGAGCCAATGGTGTAGCTTCATTCTCACTCAGTCACTCACAGACAGACCTCTGTGTTTAAAGGGCTAGCCTCGCATGCTGAGGTCCAGCCAAAAAAGACTTTAGTTTCAAGGGAAGAGAGAAAGCTGATGACTCCATGCATGTATGAAACGTGGGCACACTGTAGTCTTCAGCTTCCTGAGGATAGCATGGGAGCTGGCAGTGATGAAGACTCAGGTAAACAATGGGAATTGGCAACAACTTAACTGTGATGAAAAAAGAGGGGGAGTGCCTAAAAATGAAGATTTCTGTGCAATGACTGTGCAATCTAATAAACCCTCAATCTCCATTTTACTCCTCACTCCTGTTAATTTCAAACCCTAATGAAGTTGGCAGAGAAATAGTAGATGCTATTAAAATGACGGATGGGACGCAGGGACCTCATTTATGAAAGGTTCCCAGGGTGCAAATTTTGTGCTCCGACCCAAATCCAAGCCAAAGTTTAGGATTTATTAAAAAAATGAACTTTGTGTTAAAATCAGTGGCATAGTCCTGCCCTTAACTTCATTGTGCAGAGAATAGATTGTATAGTTTCAGTATTATTTCCTTCTTTTGTTGTACATATAGCCTGGAGAAAGTCTTAGGCTATTCTTAAGAGACCATCGAAGTACAGCATTTGATAGCAGATTAGACTGCTCACTTACAGACAAATCAATTCTATTGTAATTAATATTACTTACAGGGTTGTCAAATGATTATTTTTAAATCAAACTGATTAATTGCTGAAATTAAATAGTTAACAGTGTGGTCTGACACCATGACTTAAAGGTGGAGACAACTTCAAGTGTTTATTCTGTGAACTTGTTTGTCTATTGTTTGGTCTGTGATATAATGGGTCAGCTAGAAAAAGGTCCAATACTAACAAGCTGAAAGGGGGCATATCAGCACCTATTGTAGTGCAGTCAACATACTTCAGTCAATAAACTGATTCCCCTCCCGTGTTTGTATACTGGACAAGGACAGCAGTCCAATTAAATGGCCTACTAGCTAAAACCATGCATGTAATTGTACTGATTGTTTGCTTGTTTGTTTGTTTGTAAGGATTGCTGTTCCAGTTAAGAAAGTACAATTACTCTGATATAATTTTGATTACTCACTGATGTCCAGTGATGCCCAGTTAAAACAACAGCATATGCACTTTTCTGGAGTTCCAGTTTAGTTGCTTGCTCTGATTCATACAGGTCTTGTATGCATGAAACTATTGTTCCCCATGACAGTAAGACATATGACTGGTCACAAGATGTCAACCTGTGGATGTCCCTTAGACCCTATGTCCTTCTTGATGTTGACTGGCCTGCAGTCACTTTCCACACATTTAGCAAGCACTGTAGTCAACTAACTTGATTAAGTTTCATCCGCAGGCAATTCACTCACTCCAAAATAGTGCTGGATTTGGCGATGCATTTGCCCACTGATATCAGTCTAATTAGCTGCACCTGTGTGCTCAGCTCGTAGGAGGTAGCTCACACTCAAAGTACTTTGGTGATAATTTAATTTCGTTTGACACAAGATGACTTTTGACTTGTCAACAGAACCTACTGGGAGTAGAAGCCATTTAAAAGTGCAGTAGTGTCGTATTTTCCATCACTACAGCAGCAGGAAGCCACTGCGGCAGCTTGACGACAAGTGAAGGTGCATTGGAGAAACAAAAAAAGCAGCATGCAATTAATGCAGTAAAAAAAACGCAATATTAATTGCATTGTGATTTACGTGTTAATGCTGACAGCCCTGATATTTTTAAATGCTGTTAACTTTTTAAAGAAGGTAAAATGAATTAAAATGTATTAATACTGCAAAAATCTACAAGACCTGAAACAAACTATATTAATGTTTTACAAAGATAATGTAATTAAATTGCACAGTATACAACAAAGGGAAAAAAATACATGGAACAATATGCTGGAAGGATAAATTTCATTCCTCTCTGTCAATTTACAGACACACTCACACACACACACACACACACACACACACACACACACACACAAACACACGAAATTGTACAAACACATACATATGCACAATGACTGGAGCAGTTTGCAGTTCCGTATACAGCAGGCCCTACGTGTATCCTGCAGATCTACATTTCAGACAGCCTTCTGTGATAAAGGAGCTCAGGAGCAGTAACATATTTTGTAAAATCCACACTCTCAGCTGTCACATGTGAAAGAGTGAAACACACACACACACCCACCCAAAGGAAGCACCACTGATACATGTATGTGTGCAAATGCATGCTTTGCTCTTTGTTATTCAGATGGAACAACAGACTAAATATATTCAGATTGTATTCTGACCCTGAGGTGGACCCACTCAAACTGCCAGACGTG